TCCCGAGCTGCCGACTGCCTGCCATTTCCTCCTCTCTCGCCCTTATTTGGAGCCCCTGACAGCTGAGCTGCAAACCAACAGGAAAGCTGGGCGCCAGCCAACCGTCACCCTCTGCTTCCCCGCATGGGTCCTGTTGCCGAGGAGAAAGAAGCCCCAGGCATTGCTGTGAGATAACCAAGGACTCTTTTTTGCTCTTCTCACACCTTTGAAGTGGGAACCTCTTGAGGCAAATCAACAAGAATGTGGCTCTTGCAGCTGAGGGTCCCGGGGGTTGCTGGGGCTGCTGAAGGCGGAGGGGCTGTGACAAGCCGGTTGGACTGATAACTTTAAAAGGGCATCTTCTGCTGGCTCCTCACTCAGCTGCTTTATCACTGCAAGTGACAGAATGGGGAGGGTTACATCCCTCTTGTGCTCTCGGAGAGCTGGGGGGCTATAAAAAGAGGAGGCGCAGCGGAGAGACAGAGACGGACAAAGACCAAGAGAGCGAAACCAGAGAGGAGCAAGAAGCAGCAAACACCAGACCATTCTTTGACCGACTCCAGCATGGGCTCCTCCGCCATCTCTGTGAGCTTCCTCCTCTTTCTGGCATTTCAGCTCCCAGGGCAAATTGGAGCCAACCCCGTGTACAGCTCTGTGTCCAATGCAGACCTGATGGATTTCAAGGTAGGGCCAAGAAATGGGGCACAGTCTGGGACAAGGGGGCTTTGTGACACTGTGCCAGTCACTGAGACCTCTCCCTTTCCTTGTGTTTTCCTTTTGTAAAGAATTTGCTAGATCATTTGGAGGACAAGATGCCTTTAGAAGATGAGGGTGTCCCCCCACAAGTCCTAAGTGAGCAGAATGAGGAAGCTGGGGTCCCTCTCAGCCCTCTTTCTGAGGTGCCTCCCTGGACGGGAGAGGTCAACACAGTCCAGAGAGATGGGGGTGCCCTTGGGCGGGGCCCCTGGGAATCCTCCGATAGATCTGCCTTCCTGAAGAGCAAGCTGAGGGCATTGCTTGCTGCCCCTCGGAGCCTGCGGAGGTCCAGCTGCTTCGGGGGTAGGATGGACAGGATTGGAGCCCAGAGCGGACTGGGTTGCAACAGCTTCCGGGTAAGAGGAACTGGGGATGGAAGTGGAACGGGATGGAAGGAAATTGTGGTTTCACTGAGGCTGAAACCTTGTCAAAGGATACCACCAGGGGATATTTTCTGCAGGAAAGAGACCAGCAGAGAAGTTTACTCCCTTTGAAATTTCTGCCCCAATTGGGTGGGTGCCCCCTGAACCTCAGGACAATGACATTGTCCTCAGCTACAGCCTGCTGAGAAAATGCTAAGAAACAAAGAAGTTACTGCCATGAGCACTGGGAACTCAAAATGCTCATGGGGCCAAGTCACCTTCATACTACTGATTGGCAGTGTGCATTCCTCCCAGAATTGTCAGATCCCAAAGGATTGAAATTTATCAGGGTTGATTGTATTAGCTTCTAAGGAGCAACTTGTTTGCCAGCTCATGAAACTCAGAGGGTCATCAGTTTGGAGTGGGTACTGGTGGTGTACTGGTGAAGCTGACTTTTTCTGTAGAGCCAGGTCACCAAGACAAACGTGTCTCTGCTCTCTTTGCAGTATCGAAGATAACAGCCAGGGAGGAAAGGGCAGGCCAGGCCCCAGGCAGACTTCGAGAGGCCCTCATCCTCTGGGGTTTCTCACTCAACTTTGTCCCATCTCGTTGCCATCAAGTTGAGTTGTGACGAGCATCCTATTCAAGCGGCAGCCTCCTGTCAACATTTCTCACATTTTATGCTAAATGTAGATAAAGTGATTTCATTGTGGCTTCTCCACTTCTCCCACTCATGCATTAAAATTTAGTCACCTGGTAACTGACATTGGTTTGAAAACAAATAAACTTCAGCACCATGGACAGAAGCTGAAACCTCGGGTTGGTGTGATTTCTTCCATCTCCTGGGGAGTTCATTCAGCTTGATAGTTCTTGTCATTTCACCTTTTGTCAGAGGGCAGAATGCTCAGTTCCCTTCTTTCTCCTTTAAAAAAATGAATAAACTTATTTTTTGAGCAGTTTTAGGTTCACAGCAAAATTTAAAAGAAAGTAGAGATTTCCCATTTACGCCTTGTTCCCACTGGAGCACCGCCTCCTCCATTATCAACATCCCCACCAGAGTGGGACGTTCATTGCCATTGACGAACCTACATGGACACATCATAATCACCCAACGTCCATAGTTCACATGGAGTTCACACTTTGTGGTGTACCTTCTGCGGATTTGGACAAATTCAAGCTCCTTTCATTCCTCCCTCTGTGTGTTTGTATGTGGAGGGGGTGTGTGTGTGTGTGTAGGGAGTAGGGGCTTAAGCTGCAGCTCGCAACCTGTCTCCACTCTCACTGCAGCCTCCCCATGGATTCCGAAAAAACCCCAGGAGACTAAAAGCACGTTTATCTTTATTTAGATTTACTCATATTCAGGGCATTTATTTATTGAAAAGGAAACTTACAAATATCTGGGGGCTTTTTTCTTCTGGTTACATCTAATGTAGCTTGTACTCTGTAGACAATTTTTGTACACCTAATTTTTTTGGTTACAGTTATCCTTTTAGAGGCACACATATAAAATGAGGGCACTAACTGAAGTTTCTCTGACACCTTTTGAGAATTAGTGCTGTGACTGAGTGAATTGCATTTTTAGTTTTAAGAGTAGGCAGCATATTTGGGCTTAAAAGTTGAACAGAATGAAGAAAGAAATGTTTGCTATGCTGACAACTGCAAGTTTATGTGCCTTTGGCACCAAATTTAAAAATTAGCCACCAGCTTTCCCCAGTTCAGGTCCAACGTGCTTGGACTTGTAGATTTTACTGAGGTGGGAGTTAGTGGAGAAGATGGATTCTTTGTACCTTCTTCTGAAAAGGATGTTGCTCTAAGCAGAAAATCCCAGGCCCTGAGTTCTTCCACAACAGGGAGCAGTGCTCTGATCTGTTTTCCCACCTGTTTCCCCCTTATATCTCACTCTCCGTATCAGATTCTATGATGTCCCTCCAACACCCCACACTTACGCATTTATTTCCCCATTGACGCTCTTATTTATGCTGTTCCTTCTACGTGGAATAGCCTTTACCCAACCCTTTATCCAGTGCTCCCAAGAACATTTTGCTCATTCCTCAAGGCTCATGAAGAGTGCCACTTCTTCCCAGAAGCCTTCCCTGATACCACGTGCCCAGTACAAATCAAGCTCTTCGCTGGAAGCTTTTTATAACTGTCATATAACAATTCTCATATGCCACAATTTGCCTTGGTCGGCAGTTGTGTCTGTGTTCCTGAACAGCAAACTCCTCGAGGGTAAATGCAGCTTCAGCAGCCCCTGCAGCACGTAGCACGGTTGATGCTCAGTAAATGTGGGTCAAATCGTCTGTCTTGTACAGGCATTGGAAAAAGAGGAAATAAAGCAGTACTTTGCTCCTTGGAGAGGGAAAGGGAGGCCTGAAGTGAATTGATAGTTAGGGAAGGAGGTGGGGAAACAACTCTAACCGCTTCTAGTAAAAATGTTCCTTGTGTGGACTTTGAACAAAGAGGGCAGAAAACTAAGAACAGAGGACAAACAGGGACCAGGGAGAAGAGAAAGCAAGAAGTGACTGTCCAAACTTGGCTCCCAAGGTCTGGTCCTGGGGGAGCAGGAGCTGCTGGGAGGGGAAGAGTGGGGAGCTGGGCACACTGCCCAGGTGTCACCGTGACACAGCAGGTTCTCACCGATAGAACTGACTCATGTGCCAAACACACAGGAGACATCCCTGGAACCCAGAGGACACTCGGGGATGGGTAGAGGGGCCTGAGCTGACTGAGACCATTCCTACCACTGTGGAATGGCAACTTGAAGCAGATCATTAGAGACCAGGAAAGTCACATTTCTGACAAAACAAAAAATGAGCAAAGAGCAAAGAGCAATGACCAATGGCAGGGACAGAAGCTGGCCACAAGATCTAAATACCCTTAGGCCCGGGGCCAAGTCCATTTCTTCTGGTTGGATATCAGAGGAAACTCCTTGTGGGGCAATTTCCTAAGGGAAACTTCAGGAATCCAAACAGATTCCCCACCAATGGCTGTGGGAAGGACAAGCAGTTTCACAGGAGGCAGGGATCTGCAAACAAGACCCAGCAGTGCTCATGTGAAGGGAGGCCAGAAGAGGGATGCTAAGACCCAGGACTGAGTTGGTTCTTATTACTTCGGTGGTACGTGAACCCTGTGGAGGGAGAGTCCAACTGGGAGAGCTACAGGAGAGACCTGAGACTACAAAACTCCTCTCCAGCTTTGTAATTTTTACACTAGAGAAACGAAGTGAGTAAAAACCAAGCACGTACCACTCTAAAGGATCACCGTGGAGACAAGAGGATGACAGAGACAGATGAAGACATTTTATTCTGACATGTTACGGTTACAACGAGAACTTCCAAGTTCCAAGAGTTCAAATAAAAATAGAATTTTACAAATTAAAAAAAATACAATGTATATACACAGTGGAATTCGCTAACATTACCGTATAAACAAACAGTGCAAACAGAAAAAAGGAAGCTGCTACTGCTGAAATGACCAGGGTCCACAAGGTGTGAGGCAACACTGCACGTCAATACTGCAGGGCCAGGAGGGCGCTCTGGCCTTTCCGGAGTCTCTCATCTCCCAGGGCCATGCTGCTGAGTGCTCTTGTGTCAGAAATGTCATCTGGTCAGCTGGGTCAAGTAAGCAAGTGTCCATTCCAGCCAAGAACCGTTAGTTAAACAAGGTCATGAGCAAATCACCCCCCAGAATACAATGCTCCCTCAGTTGGGATGGGACTCCTGCCCCCCAATCAACTCAGCTGGGAAAGCACAGAAAACTGCCTCTAGGCAACCCAGGACCCAACCCTGGTAGATTTCTGTTTATCCAGGGAACAGGCCACTGGGAGGTGATGGGGCTGGAAACAGGTGAGATGTTGAGATGTGGGTTTCTAACTGACAGAAATCAAAGGAGTGAGCCTTACAGTTTTTGTTGTTGTTGTTGTTACAAGTGGAGCAGTGGCTGTCTTTGGGCTCATCTGGAAAGGGCAGGTGCCGACAGGAAATAACACGTCTTTCCAGAGGGGCTGGGATGGGTTCTCCTTGGAGGCCGCCCAGGCAGTTCAGGGGGAGGGAGGCATCTGCACTCTGCTGTCTATCTCTGGGCTACACTGATGAGAACAAAGTATCTGGTGACTTAAACACGACATGATGTGCAGGAGGGATAAATTCCAACACTCACCCAGGGCGGCCCAAGGCCCGTGATCCCGCCCTCTGGAGGCAGGACATCCTCCCACTGGACATCAGTTCTGCCAGTTTCAGCAAGGGGAACGGAGGGGCGACAGGAGCAGGTCACTGCGATGGGCAGTCATGCCACACCACTGACTCGGGCAACTGGTTTCCTTCTTAATAAAAGTATGAAAATTGGGATCAAATTTTGAATGCTGCCTTAAAGTGGCAGCTGGCTGAACACAGCCACGCTTAGGAGGGCTGCCTTTTTGGTCCTTGTGATTTCCGCAGCTTTTTATTGGGAGTTTCACCTATGCTTCAGAACTCAAGTGCACCGAAGTGGAAAAATTTATAAGTCAAAGCAATTTTGGTCAAAGAGATAAGACACGGGAAGAATGGGGGGCCAGTCAGTTGGAAATGATGCTGAAGAAGCCCCTCGAGCAGGTGGAGTTGTTCCCTAGAACGTGTGCCGCCCAAGACCTGTGCCAGCAAAGCTGGGGCTGACACCCACCCCCAGGCTGAAAGGCGGTCTCGGCAACAGAAGTCAGCAGGAGGCTGAGGGGAGAGGGCAGGATTGCCGGGGCCAGACACTGATGCCCTCAGACAACTTCCATGATTAAAAAAAAAAAACCTAAATGCAAATGAATGCCATCTCCAGTCCCAAAGGACATCTTCCACAGGGCTGCTTGAAGGGCCTAAGATGCCGTTAAATGTGCAGAGAAGTGGAAAATGGGTGCAGATGCCCCACACCCAAAGGTTCACTTCAGCTGCCTGTTCAGGGAGGACCAATCAGCCCGGAGGGCAACCAAGTCACTGAAACAGAGAGGGCCGCTCCCTATTTTTGATGCTAAAACTTTGAGGTGCGTGCACCTCCCCCTCCCCACCCCGAACCCTCCTGAGGTTTCCACTGCTGAGCCCCTCAGTAGGCCGAGGATGACACATCTGTGAAGGGCAGACACTCTCATCTTCAAATGACCATCTGTTGCACCGTTGCACTCTGGCTTTTTAAGCCACTTCAGGTTAGTGGTCACTGGTTCAGGCTTCACTCCTTTCCATCTTCTAAATACCATACCATTCCCCACAGTCAAGTGAAGCAGTTTTATCTAGGGGTGCCCTGGTTTTAGGGGAGATGCCAAGACCCTCTGGGCTGTGGCTGCTTCCCCAGGAAGATGTAGGTCAAAATTAAGGAAAGTACAGTAATTCGATGGAGATCAAAAGGACCAGGGTAAAACCACGGCACCAGGAGACGATGGGTGATGTGGAAAATGGAGAGAAAGCTGAAATGCTCAGGACTAGGGTGGATGCAAAGCTGACCCTATCTTCGGATTTATGGTTCAGAGATTATTAGTGGGACTGGAATGCTTTGTGCTTCTTCTGGAGGGTGGCGGTTCTAGGGAGATTCACACCCCAGGGGTGAGACCAGAGCACCAGCTCACACCCAGAAGCAGAACCTCCCTTAAAAGGAACAAACTGGTGAAGATGTCAACTTGAGACCCAATGAAGGAGGGCCTCCCTTAAACATGCGTGCTTTTTCCTCTGTGCCCAATTTCTCAATTTGGTAATTCACTTAATTCTGCAACTGGCATGACCCCAGTGTTTGCCTTGGCCAAGTCCCTCCCGTAATGGTTTAAGGCAACAGCTGGGCTCCCTAGGGAAGGAGCAGAGGAGGGGCAGGAGAACTGCTCCGAGAGTCACCTTCCAGTGGGTGAGGCCTGACTCCCCGCTCCGGCCCTGGTGGGGAGGGGGCCCAGGGCCTGTGCCAACACTGGATGGTAGGGACGCAGGGAGAAGGAAACGGGGAGACGCTTCTGAGAAGTCAGACATGTCCATGCCCTGGTGGTTCAATGCCGCCCCCAGACTCTCTGCCCAGCGAGGTGTGCGATGATTGTAGGCTTTCCAAGCGAGCGGGTGACCGGGACTCCTCCCTGCCCGGGAACAGCCCCGGCCAACAGTGGCGGCAAAGGCCGAGCGAGCCGCCTCCCCAGGCGGCTCCCGGAGAGGCCGGGCTGGCACGTGGCTGTCAGAGGGTCTGGTAGTGCTGCCGCAGCCGGGCCTGCAGAAACTCGTACGTCAGGTTGTGTCGTGTGATGACCCCAACAATCTAGGACGGAGAAAAGAAAACCCAAGTCACCTGCAGAGTAAAACCCACGGGGATGAGAACACGAGCGACGGGGGTGAACAGACGCTGCGCAGCCTGTCCCGAGAAGGGGCGGAGACAGAACCAGATCCTGGAAGGGCTGCAGCAGACGTGGTGACGTGACCAGCGCACTCACGTCAAAGGCTGCCTAAACTCCAGGTGGGAAGATCAAGGAGACAACCGGGGATCTCAAGCTGGAGGCCAATGGGACGAATTCAGCCCCTAAAGCTTTTGGCTGGGGCAGCTAAAATCTGAACGTGGTTAAACAGGACCCACGGGCTCCAGCATTCTCAGGGCCTGCCACACCCAGCCTGCCTCTTGTGTGTGCACGGTGCGTGGCCCAGGGAAGGCTTCTGAGAGGCTGTGAGCCCTGCCACAGCTTAGAAACCCCATCTTTCAGAACTACCCGAGGCACTGTCATGCTGGGATTTATCAGAAGAAATATATATTTGGTCTTTGTCCTAGTTGCTGGCACAAAGCTCTTAAAACTCTTGGAATTTCCTAAGTGATCAGAGTAATAAGGGTGTCTTTTATTCCTCATAACAAGCCCCTTCCAACCATACTTGAGTTTATGTTAATGATGTAACTTTGAGAAAGCCCCTAAGGATGGAGGCTGGTTGTCTGGGGAACCAAGCTTGCGACTAGAGGATTGGAGCGTTCATCCCCACCCTCTACCTGTGGGGGGAGGGCTGGAGGTTGAACCAGTCACCAATGGTGGCCAACGACATAATCAATCACGACCATGTCATGAAGTCTCTATTAACACTCCCCGAACTACAGGGTTTGGAGAGCCTCCAGGCTGGCGAACACGTAGGGTGCTAGAAGGGTGGCCTGCCCGCTGGAGAGGACGCAGAAGCTTGGCACCCCTTCCCACGCCCGGCACCCCTTGCTCTGTGCACCTCTTCCATCTGGCATTTCTAAGCTAGTAGGTTACAGTTTATTACAAAAGGGTGTTAGGAGAGCATTTTCCTGAGTCCTGTGAGAAGGGCGTCATGGGAACCTCCTATTTATAGCCAGTCAGAAGTACAGGTGACTACCTGGACTTCGGATCAACAATTGAAGTGCGGGGTGGGAGACATGATGAACACTCTCGTGGGACTGAGCCCTTAACCCGAGGGATCGGATGCTGCCTCCATGTAGACAGCGTCAGAACTGAGTTGAGTTGCAGGACGCCCAATCAGCGTCCAGAGAATCAGAGAATTACTTTGTGTGGGGAGCACCCCCCCAAAAAAAAGCCACCCAGTGACTGCAGTACAGCAGAGGATGAGAGTCCAGAGAAACAGTTTTTCCTAAATGGTTGTTCAGAAAACAGACACGGCAGTGACTCACGTTTGTCACTGGGGTGGGCGCCCCATACCATAACCTGTGTTAGAACTGTCAGCGCAGCTGTGTTTCAAGGACCACAATTTGACCCCCTGCAACTAAAACCGTGTAAGAACACGCTGTGCTGTCAGCGTTCTGCTGACACCCTCACCTTAGAGAGGCGTCATTTCCTGGAGGGCAACCTGGCAACATGGACCAGAAGCCTTAAAAAGGTGACCGCTACAGTGAAGTTTAACTAAATATCCCACAACAGAGGACAACCGAGTAAGTAACTGGATATCGTACAACAGAATGCTATTGAGCCACTAAGATATCCTAGTAGGGGGAGGGCAGAGCTCAGTGGCAGAGTGCATGCCAAGCACGCACAAGGTCCTGGGTTCAAGTCCCAGTACCTCCATCAAAAAATAAACACTTAAAAAAAAAAAAGATATCCTAAGTGAATGCTTTCTGATGTGGAAAGTCATTTCTTATAGATTAATTGAAAAATTAGGGTATTAAATAGCATAAACAGTGATAACATTTTCATTAAAACTTGATATATAAAATCTCTATTTCTAGACACCCAGAAAAAAGGCAAATAATGAAAAGTTAACATGACTACTTCTGTAGAGATAGGAGTTTGGCTTTTTTTGGCTTATCTGTATTTTCATATTTTTCTACAATCAAATACCGATATTTGTGTTGCAAGAAAAAAATCGAATTCTAAGAAAAAAAAATGAAAATCCTGTAGCAATAATTACTAGGTATTTTATCTTTTAAAACTCCCTGAGTATCTTGCCTGAAGTTCTCTCATTTAATGTTACAAATGCCCGTAAGAGGTGGGGAACTGACCTGTCCTCAAGGGGGCGCCATCAGGTCAAGGGTGAAGAGGAACGCTTTAGAATAGCAAGCCTGCCCTAAGCTTTTCTAGGCTGCAGAAAGGAGGCCAGTGTGACACTGGCGACATCTGCTGGCTACACAGAGATGGCACATAAGAAACTCCCAGGAGGCAAAGAGGGAAGGGTTCTCCAAGCTACCCCAGTCTCTGCAGTCTCCTGGCTCCCCCATCCTCCCTGCCCCTCACCCTTGGTGGGGGAGCTGCAGAGGCCTCCCTGTGGGATTCTGTTGCTTCCTCCTGGGTGAGAAGCCCTGTCTCCCAGCAGCGTAGTGGGTAGAGGATCCTTGCCAGGAGAAGGGTGGGTGTACAGGTGTGGCTGCAGGCACCAGGTTCTGCCTCCCTGAGCTGGACTTCAGACTCACCTCTCCCACCGCGTTCACCACGGGCAAGTGCCGCAGGCCCATCGTTCTGAACAGGTTGAACACTTGAGAGACATGGGTGTTTGGGGACACAGTGAAGGGCGCAGGGTTCATGTACGGGGTGACATCCTGCAGAGGAGACAACACAGGTGACCTGTAGCCAGTTCTGCCCTGCCCAGGAGGAGACCCAAACTGCGCAGACGAGCAGTGGTCTGCGAGGGATGGGCCCTTGGCCTCCTTTCCTGGGCCTCGTCCCGGGGGAGGCCCTTCTCACCACGATCATCCGCGGGTTCAGCAGTGTCAGGTCCAGGTCGTGGATGTCGGGGTACCGCGGGTAATCCTCCGCCATCTCAGCATAGGAAAGGCGCGGCTGGCTGGCACTCTGCAATCCCAACCGAGACATGGTCCTTGCACCAAGGACAGCGACTGGCAGGGTCACACTTAGATTCCCCTCCCTCACTATGTCTGAGAGCCGGTGGGGCAGAGCAGGAGCCAGAACAGGTGCTTTGGAGTCAGACTTTGTCATCTGAAGCCAGCTCTCAGTCATTCCTAGCTGCACCACCCTGGGCGAGTCTCCTCATCTCTCTGAACTTCCCTTTCAGTGAGAAAGGTGCTAACTAATAGTACCTGTGTGGGTTGCCTTGTGCCCCCAAGAAGACAAGTCCAAATCCTTTCTCCTGGTACCTGTGAACGTGGCCTTACTGGAAACAGGGTCTTTGCAGATGTGATCAAGATGAGGCCCTATTGGATTAGGGCGAGCCCTGAACCCAATGACTGATGTCCTTATAAAAGAGGAGAGCACACACAGGGAGAGGGCCATGTGACAAGAAGGCAGACACAGGAGCGATGTGTCTACAGCCGAGGAGTGCCAAGGACTGCTGGCACCACCGCAAACCAGGGCGGCAAGGCTCCTCCCTGGAGCCTCCAGGGAAAGCACGGCCCTGTCGACACCTGGATTTTGTACCGTGGCCTTGAGAACCACAAAAGAGCACATTTCTGTGGTCTGAAGCCACTCAGATGCGTGGCAACTGGCAATGGCAGCCTCAGGAAACTCACGCAGTAGCTTTGCCACTGTTCCTGCATCCGGAGTCTTCCAGATTTTCCCTCAGCTCTCACTGCCTCTGACCATCCCTGGGCACCTGGGCCGCCACCACCAGCTCCCTGGCTGGGCATAGTAACCACAAATGCCAGTCACTGCTCTGCCCCCATCTTTTCCTGCTTAACACCTCCTTGCACACAGCCCTCCTGTCCCCCGCCCGACTCCCGGAGCTTTCTCAGGCCAGCTCTGGCCGGCTTCCGCGTGCAGGCAAGGCCCACCTCCCCGCTCCCACTTCCTCATCCCCTCTGCTCCACTCCAGACCTCTACTCCCTGCCAGCTGGGCTGGGCCTCCCCACAGGCCACACCCCAAGCCTGAGCCCCTCCCCAACCCTGACCCTTCCTGTCCTGCCCATGTTAGCTGCTCTTCGGCCGGCCAGTCAGATCACGAGTGACCGCAGGCTGGCCGCCCATGGGCAAGACCTGAACCAGGAGGGTCAGTTTGGGAACTAGGCCTCTGGTCGACTTTTCCGGCTCCTGGCACAGGTCACTATAGGAACCACTTTGAACACACCCCATCCCCTCTGCTTATCTCTACAAAAACTGAACAAAAGAGAAAAAAGAACTACAGGACAATTAACAAGGAAAATACTATTTCTTTTGATGACATAATGTAACCAAGCTCACTCGTGCCGCCGATGAAAGTGCAGAAACCCTGCTGGAAGCCTGCAGGCCAGAGGGACCCTTGACAACCGGTGAGGGGCCACGGGGAGAAGGGCTGGAGGGGAATTCACACCCGGCTCAGTGTCACCTGCAGAGACCCTGCCTGCAGCGGGGGACGAGGGGCTGACAGCAGACACAGGGACTGCGCTCCTACCGCCCTCGTGCCCTCCAGAATCCCGGTGCGGACAAGAAGGGAGACTCACCGACTGGCTCTCGGAGTAACAGACTCCTCGGACGAGCAGGGTGACGAGCTGCGAGCGCAGGATGAGGCCGTGGAAGGTCAGGGGGCGGAAGCGCTCCTCCATGGTCCAGTCTTCACTCGGGGACTGGTCAGGGTATAGGTTGGGGTAGGGAGTGTATCTGTTACACAAAAACCAGACGCTGCCTAGGACACCCTCAGCAGGACCCCTTCCCGTCCCCGTCTCCAGACCCCTCCCTCAGTTTCCAGGAACAGCCCTGAGCAAGGGGCTGCCTCACCTCCGGTCCAGCATCTGCTGCAGGAGGTCCTCCTTCTCCCCCGGCTCCTCCGAGGTCACGTGCTCATCGCACATGTTCCGCAGCTCACTTGACGGGTAGGACTTCATGGACTGGCTCCGTCTGCGCTGCTCACCAGCTCGGGTGAGGATGCTGGACTTCTGTGGGTGGGAGCGGGTGGCGATGATGGAGGCGGCTGCCAGGGAGCCGGGATGGCTGCGCACGGGCTCACCAGCACGCAGCAGCCACTTGGGTAAGGATCTGGGTGACAGTGAGGGTCAAAGCCACAGGCCCCCATGGGAACTACAAGACCCTTTACAGTGGCTCAGGGGCTTGTGATTCAAAGGAGTCTCTCAGACCCCAAGGTTTTTGCCAGCCCAACATCCCGGCTCCTTTGATTTGGGGACAGCCTCTCAGATCTCCAGCGGGGAACAACCCCCTCCTACGTCATGTCTTGGTGGGCCTGTCCATTGATGTGCCCCCCAGTCTCCAAAGCCAAGGGTGGGCATGCCACCCAAGTGAGGCAGCAGGAGTCCTCCCCAGCGTGGACGCCCCCAGTACCTACAGGGGTCCACCAGCCACCTGCATGCCGAGTGCAGCGCTTCTGGTTCCTCAGCTTCCCTGTCCATCCTGTGGCTTCCAACTCACTTCTTTCCCTCTCTTAACTAGGTCGAAGTCCATTTCTGTTGTTGGCAACTCAGAACCCTCCCGGATACAACCTGCACTGAATACTGAAGACTGCTGATTAAAACAACCGTCTATCCACATGCTTACTGAAGTGAGAATGAGCACATGTCCTGATGGCCTAATAAAGTCAGCACTCTCTGTCAAGTCTACACTCGCTGTTAAGTCTATTCTCGCTGTCAAGTCCATCCTCACTGCCGTATACAATGAAAAGAATGCTCATTTCCACAAGAGCCAACCAGGGCCACCCCGTCTGAGGGGTGTGGCAAGCCCAGGATAGAGGAACCACTTGTTCATCGCCCACCTTTCCTCCGGGGCTGTTTTCTTTACCTTGAATTTGATGTTGTTACTGATCAGCTGGTTGCCCTTCATGAACTCCTTCTCGTTGCCCCGGTTCTCCGTGACCACCGGGAAGGCATGGTGGACTGTGGTGCGCAGGATGCTGACCAGAGACTGGATGCGGGTGTGCGGGTAGACGTAGGTCAGGTTAGGCTCCATGATGTCGCTGGCTCGCAGTCTGGGGGAGGGGGGGAAGCCATCCAGCCTCACGACAGAGCCCATGGCATCCCGGAGCAAGCTGTGATGGGGCTGCTCGGGTCTCCTGCACTGCCTGGACAACCTGGGGCCCCTCTTCTGAACCATCTTTAGTGGTTCCTTGAGCACACGTGCTCCTTTTTACTTCTATACACTTTGCACATGCTGTTCCCCATGCCTCGAATGCCCTTCCCCGCTTTGTCAGATGGCTAGGCCAAAACCCTTGGCTCAATACAAGCGTCCCCTCACAACGAACCCCTTCCACTTGTCCGGGGGTTTGGCTGGCCCTCCTCAGCACTCCACGGCACGTGCCGTGTATCACCACTGAATTGCTAATTATACTGGAATTAAATAAAAATTGTTTGGTTGCCCCTTTTACCAGGGATGGCGACTGTCACCCACAGGTCCAATCTGGTCACGCTCACTCATTTTCATGTTGTCTATGCTGCTTCTGCACTAAAATAACAGAGCTGAACACTTGTGACAGAGACCACATGGCCTGCAAAGCTGAAAATATTTACTCTCTGGCCCTTTCTAGAAGTTGGCTGACCCCCGCATTAGACTGTAAGGCCTTGCATGATACCCAGATGTGGGAGGCCCAAACTATTTGTGGCTGATAGATAAGTCGGTGATTACGCCTAGAATAATCACTGCTGATAGTATGACATTTCATTAAGCCCACACGAGGCGGCTAGCTCTCACTCACAGGCCTTAGCTCCTAACTTCAAACCTTCAATCATAACACTTCCTGTTTAGCCAGAATGCCCTGCCAGCTGGACAAAGCACCACACGGCCCTGCCCGCCCCGGCTCCCGGCCCCACACGGCTGCTCCACCCTCTCAAACATGCTTGGGAACAGACGCGCCCGCAGTTGGAAGGACTTTCCTGTTGTTATTCAGTATTGCCTTCTTCCAGCTCAAGATTCTGAATGGCCATTTGCTACCTAACACAAACATTCCTCAGGCTCTAGCGTTTATAAGTTCTGGAATGAAGCGATGAACAGACATGACGGCCTTACTTGTCCATTTCCACCTCTGTCTCCCATTCTAGAAGCGGCACGCCTCGCAGGCCCACGTGGATGTCATAAATGCCCTTGGTGAAAAAGTCCCCTGTCCACTTGGCCACCTGAAACACAAAGACATGAAAAGAGGCCGGTGTAGGGGGAACTTGGCTTTGAACCTGAAAGAGGCCTAGAGGGGCATGCTCACCATCAGGGTGATCATAATGGGAAGGCCGTATGTGATCTCGTTGGTTGACTCAATCAGGATGACCGTGAGACTGATGGTCATACGGACGACCCCACCCAAGAAAGCCGCGGCACCGATCAGGGCAAAGGTCCCCGAATAGATATGGCCCAATCCAATGTAGCTGGTGAACAGAGAAACAAAGAACGTGGCTTAGAATCATCCTGGGGAGGGGGGTATGGTTCACACACGTACACATGTGGTCACAAGTGCGTGCTCTCTCCCTCTCTCTCTCTCTCTCTCACACACACACACACACACACACACACACAGAGTACCTTTTGAGGACATTGGCAACTAAACGTCCAAAAGCAGCTCCACACAGCAGAGAAGGCACAAAAAGACCACTTGGAACAGAAATGCCGTAAGTCCAACACGCAAGCACGAAATAGAGGATGAAGAACAAGGCCAAAGTGATGGGGCTAAAAGTACCTGCAAAGCAAGAACCAACCTGAGTCCCACTGAGCCCGCCCAGGCCCACCAGACCGCCTCTGCTCCCACCAGGTCCCTCTGCGCCCCGACCGGTTCACCTCTGCCTCCGGAGGCAGACACCCTCATCTTTTCTGGGATGACACTACACAATGAAAAGTCCTGGTCTTGCTCAGAATTAAGGGCAAGCTGCATCTGAAGGTCAACAGAAGGTGCAGAGGAATAATCACTTGTTCCTTGCCAAAAAAGCCCCCAACCCCTCAGAGACTCACCATCCTGGTGGAAAAGCTGAAGGATGGCAGACTCCTGGGGGTTGAAGAAGAGTGTGGCCATGTCGTTGTAGGTATCATTGGGACAGAAAAAGGTCTTGATACTTGAATTCACATCTTCTGATGTGACCTAAGAAGCAGGAATCAAAAAGTCAGGACAAGGGCCCCTGAACAGGGCACTTGAGACTCCGAGGCGGATGTCTCCAGCCAGGCTGAAACAGTCTGGCTTGTGAGCTTTACCCATAAATTATATAGGCAGAAAAAATAGATTCACACCCAAGCAGCTGACTGTGACACTGGATTCCTTGACTTTCGAGAATGAAAGAATCAGGATGAGGGCTCCTGTTCATTCACATTCATAACAAAAATGTAACTACAATTATGATTCACCATGCAGCTGGCTCGCCGTCCTCTCCCAGTGGGAATTTTGTAAGTGGCACTGCTGGAAGCCTGGCTCCAGAGTGCCACGGACTGTGGAGGACAAGGCAGGTGATGGACAAGTGGCCGGGAGTGGACAAGGATCTGTGGAGGAGAGTTCAGGGCACTGCCTGACCTAGTGCCCCAACTTTGGTTCTAAATTGAAAAAGCCTCCACCTCGAGTTTGCTATGGAAGAAAACCCACGCACGAGAGGCCTGATGCAGATGCCAAGCTCCTGGCCGCCTCCCTGACATGGCTGAACAAAACTCAAGCTGCAAAAGGAGCAGGTTATTTCTCCACATTCCAGCCATCTCATTCTCTTCATCATTTTGTGTGGGAAGGGAAGATCCCGGCACTGCTGGACTCATTAGAGGGCAGGGGTATTTGTTTTCTGGTTGAAGGTGTACAATGGTACGGGGGTGGAACTCACACCTAGCACTGGGCCTACGATTAGAGTGTTAATACAAAGCTAACCAAGGAGACCGGCTTTCCCTGGATTCGATTCTATCAAAGACACTGTAAAGATGCCCTTATGTGGCACTGTAACACTAGGTGACGGGTTTGCATAACCCTACCAGGAAGACCTGGCTGGACAACACAGCCGGAGGAAGGCTGCCATAGGAAACAAGAGAGTGCCCCCTATTGGCAGAACCAGGCAGGGAGGAACTGGCAAAGGAGCCTGTTCAGAACAATGAGGGTGAACAGACTGAGACAAGGGCGTAATAACCAACACAGGCAGTGTTTCCCAAACTATGCCTGGAGGAACCCCAGTCCTGAAGATGCTCTGGAAAGAGCCCTGTGGCCAAATGCATACAGAAGTGCCACAGCACTTGCTGGAAATCAGTGTATCTGGGAAATGCAGAGAAAAACCTCCACAGTCAGACGGCTTTGACTCTCACGCATTTCATTCATTCTGTGAAGCTTCCGTTTCCTCATCTATAAAATGAGACTCATATGCACCTCCTGCTATATATTACTAGCTGAGTGATTTCGGTCAAGACCTCAGTCTTCTCATCTGTAAAACGGGGATAATACGAGCCACCACCACAGTAGTAAGGATTAAATGCGGTTATGTATGTGCATTGCTTAGTGGAATGCCTGGCACACAATAAACGTTCCCAACACTTACTAGAATTTTAAAGGCCCCAGGAAGTCCTGTATTAAACCTACTTAGCTCTGGTTAACCCAACTGACCATAGAATACTTCTCCATTTGTTTGTTCTTGAACCATGTATGTCAGTGTTCCTTAGAACACATTTTGGAAATTATTGATCTGATAATGAGGTAGCCTGGGGGAAGAGCTAGTAACAGAGTTCAACAAATTTTTTTGATAAAGAGCCAGACAGTAAACATTTCAGGCTTTGCAGGCCACATACAGGCTCTGTTGCATACTCCTTCTCTGTGTTTTTTTCCCCCCAACCCTTTAAAAGTGTAAAAACCATTCTTAGTTTGGGGGCTATACAAAAACAAGCAGTTGCCAAGGGCTGGTTCTGGCCCAGGGACCACAGTTTGCGGACCTCGGATCTAATAATTCCAGCTGTTCGCTGACTGTTCCTGGGGACACGGAAAGACAGTCACTCAAAACAAAAGCCCAAAGGGGCTCAGAGGGACTTGAGTGGCAGAACCTCCAGCCTCCACCTACAGGCCAGTACTCCGACCCACAGGGGGGATCAAGAAACACAGGGCAGAGTAAGCTACAATGCCTACCTCACTGACCCTGCTCTTTCAGGGCAAGGTTCTAGAAAATACCACATATTCCTAAGAAAGGAGAAGGGGAAATGAGAAAGGACATATGCCTGTAAGTGCCTAAACTCAGTAGGAACCAGAAGATGCCAGGAAGGTCCAGGACCACCATGTGCCCTGAGGCAGGCACTCCTTTCTCCCATCTTAAGAGTACCTCTCTCACAATCCTGAATGAGGCTGGTGGGCGCCTTTCAGGGGAGGAGAGGCAGAAGAGTAAACTGGGGCGCAGAGAAGCAGCAGACAGTCAGCTTCCTGAACGTGTGTTTCAAATTAGTTTTGTTCAACAGAGAGAGGGAGAGAGAGGAGCCCCCTTTGTGACGGCCAGGACTGTTCACAACAGTGAGAAAGAGGAAATTCCGTGCACATCCTCTCTTAGGTAGAAAGTGATTTCTCTGCATGAATTCCTCTCTCAGAAATCTGATACAGGTGTGGAACAATGGACCCAATGCATCTATTAGTTCTAAACAGAGGCAGATCAGACGTTCCTGGATGCTTCTTTGTGGGTGTAGGGTAAAGGCAGCTACCTGCAGCTGGGAGGAGTCATTACCGACTTGACTCGCAGAAGGCATCTGTCGGCATTCTCCTAACACCATGGAGGCCACAAACACCACCACGGTGGTCACCAGAGACACCAGGAGGCTCTCCAAGACTCTAGGAGGCAAGCACAGCTGTTATTACGGGTAAAAAGTCACCTGGTCTTTGGAACTAAAAAACTGCCTACCCCCAACCCCTCTTCCCCCAGAGTATTCACAGCAGCTCCGAGTCAGTCAGCGCATGTGCAGAATTTATCACGACTCGCTGCGTTTCAGCAATGTGTAAGTAAAAAGGGGGCAGCCAGCAACGTGGGCTGCTGTGTCCGCATCATCTCTCTCCGAGGAACGAAAGAGCCTTCCATTTTAAGTCCGGGGGGAGTCACATGAGAGCGCACCCCTCGGCACGGCGGACACTGCCTTTGCCGTGTGTCCTGAGGGCGAGCTGAGAGAGGCTGGGAGCCAGTCAGCAGCTCTGCTGTAAACGGAGCTCAGCCCAGCCCTCTTGGCCTGTCTGACAAAGAGCAGATGGACACTCTCTGTCTTAGACATGAAATTGAAGCTGGCGTGGGAATCGGGGTCTGTTCCTCGGGAGAGATGGCCAGGTCCACACAGGGCTCGGGGAGCCGCGGCAGGCGGGGGAGGCGACTGCACGGGTACCTGACGAGCTTAGGTTTCGGGTGCACGTTTCGCATACGGTACTTTGCAAGCTTCTTGTTCAGACAGTTGAATGTGGCTCCCAGGAGGCCCCCAATGACCCCCATCACGACGAAGAAACCCAAATCCAGAGCTGTCCAGAGATGACATTTTTTATCAGAGTCAGAGCACTGAGAGAAGGGGCAAGGGAGGGAGAGAGAAAAACCACAGTGCCCATGAGAACAGGAAGGGACAAGAGCAGAGAAGACAGGGACAAGAGCCCAGGCAGTGCCAGAATCCTGCCCACACAGAGCGCAGGTGGCACGCAGGAGACTCAGGGTAGAGAGATGCCTACCATTCTGATCACTTCTCTCTGGTACTTCACTTAAGAGCAATTTGCATGGGTCAAGAAAGAAATTCTAGGGGCGAGGACAAAACAAACATACCTTAAACTCTCCAAAGTTCAGCAATCCAGGGAGCTGGAAGGAACCCCAACTTCCAAACTGAATCCCAGAACGAAAGAAGTTGAGGGTGAAGGTGGCAGACATGGAACAAAAGAGCTAGAGGACAGGTGACAAAAACAAGAACATTCAATAGTGACAAGTCCTTCTTCCTCCCAGACACATCCCCATAAGCCTACTGCTCCACAGAGACCTGCAAGTTCTGGGTCTGGACACAGGGCTCTGGTAAGCACGGCAGTAAATACACCTCAGGTGTGAAAAGTTGGAAATCAGGTTATAAGACATTTTCATTCCGACAGCCTATCATGAAGGACTGTTTATTCAGAGCCTATTATGCACCAGACCCTGTGCCAAAAAGGGGACAGTAAACAGCAGAGGAAGAATAGGTTCCCCTGAGGGAGGAGCCGGAGGTTCGCATCCAGCCCCGCCGCTGCCTCAGGACCACAGCGGGTCTCCTGTTTCAGATCGGTTCATCAGGAGAGGCTGACGGCAGTCTGACTGGCGATGGGAAGGGTATTAACATAGAAAGCACAGAAAAGTCCAGAGCTTAGAGGTTATGGGTGTCTAGAGCAAAGGAGTTTCCAACAACGTCAACTCTCCCAGTCTCATCAAATCACAGGGAACTAGGAGCATGGATTAAATCGAGCCTTTCATCACTGCGACGTCCCGCCTCCACTTCGGTGATTCCCCTTGTTTCACAATCCTCTTTAACGTTAACAAACAACTACACCAGCCTTACTCTGGTTCGCTTTTGCAACGTCTACCTTTTCTGCTTTTACTTGCAGACATTTATAACTGTACCTAAAGTATGTCTCTTGTAAACCACCAAAAAGCGGGAAAAATAACTGGCAGGCGTATGGAGTGCCTGGTTTACATTTCGGGGTGTGCTCAAGTTCAGGGGAAGGTCCTCCTCACCACTTTCCACGTGAGCCCTTGATTCCAGAAGGACGAGCCTTCCTCCAGACTGAACAAGGTGCCCCCAATGGGAGCCCCAAAAGCCGCAGCCACTCCGGCGGCCGCCCCTGCTGATACAAAGTCCCGCTTGTCTCTGAGGAGAGGAGAGAGAGAGAATTTATGTAAGAAAGAGCCCTCGCCTGCAAAAGGCAGTTTTTTACTTCCTTATGCGTCAACATTTTAGTATCTTGTGACCCATGAAGAGTCAGGGCTTATAAAGGGCAGGCCCCTGGGGAGGCGGACTCAGTAGCAAACACTGTTCACCTATGAGCCAAACGCTCTCCCCAGTCGGAGCTCTGCCAGGTGGACCGGCTCCTTCCAGACGGAAGATTTCTGGCATCACTGCCGAGCCACGTGCTCACCAGATCTCCCTTGCAGAGTGTAGCACCAGTGAGAATGTCCAAGCGGGGCTGCGTGCAGAGGAGCAGGTGACAACGACCACAGGAACACCGTGGCGAGAAGGTGGACCACAACCCGGACCCTTGGGCCCCTGATCGCAAGGGCCTTGCCATGTGTGCAAGTCAGTAACACTTGCAAACCCCACAGGGCAAAGAGCGCCCGAAGAGACCTTCCAACTCTGAGAGGCAGCTGACTGAGTAAATAAACCCTTCTTGATAATATGCCTGTGGACTCTCTTGGCCGTGGTTTTGATCTTGGACCATGCTCTTCACTGTCTGAGCTGCTTCTGGGCCTTGTGTCATGACAAAATAGAAGCCATGATGCCAGCTTGGCCCTCATGCTCCTTTCTCTCAGAAGAATAGCTCACAGCCCACGTCCTTCCTGACAGTCGGGTTCTGCATGCAGCCTGCCCAGCAGGGAAGACTGTGAGCCGGGTGAGGGCAAGTTTAGGGTCTGAGTGGCAGTAAATGAACAGTTTGGTTTTTTTCAAAAAATCCCAATTCCTAACCTTTTCGTACCTGTCACTCCGGAAATAGGGGAAGTTAAACTGGATCTTCCGTATGGAGATGCTCTGAAACTAGGACAAGAGAAAACAGTCAGAGAGGGTCCGAAGGCTGCAGAAATCCAAGGTGCCAGGTGAGTCCCCGTGGCCTGAGGGCACCTGGGCAGGGATGTCAGGAGAAGGAAAAGTCCAGAACAGCAGCCTGGGAAAACAGAAGTTACTTTGGGGAGGAACTTCTTTTCCTGCCCCTAGATTTCTAGGATCTTCAGAAACTGCATTTTGTACACAGTCAACAAATCGGAAAGGAGAACGCAAAGGGCTAAGCAGAGGGTCGGGAGGAACTGAAACTTGCTGCAGTAGATGGTGTGAGATCTGCTTGGGGAAGCTGACAGGAAGGGCCAAGGAAGCCAACTTCCAACCCACCCTAGCTTGGCTTCCTCCCACCTCTCAGCTCACTTTCTGGAGGCCAGGGCTGGACGTGGAGGAGATGAGGCAGGAGCCACAGGGAGAGAAAGGGGGGGCTCTGGACCAAAGAGTCTTCCCTCCTTTGCTCTGATAACTCACAGTGACTCCCTCCCCTTAGGACACGACAGAGAAATGTCTGTAACTAACTGCTCACAAGGAGAGGCGACATCTCAGTGTGGAGCAGCCCGTGAGAATGGGAGCTCTGGAGTCGTGAGCGAGCTCCTTGACCTCTCTGAGCCTCAGTTCCTCGTCTGAGAATGATGGTGATGAGGACAACTGAATCCTTGAGGTGGCTTTAGAGGACAAAGCAGCTGGCACAGGGAGAGTCTGGCCCAGATCGCGCCTAACGAGCAGCAGCTGTTACTCCCCTACCACCTCCGATGGCATCAGCGAGACCTGCGCTTGACACCATCTCAGCCACTGCTTTCAGCCCCTGGGGATCTGGCGGCCCTGAGACACCCCTCAAGTCACCTCATCGCCCCCCACGATGGCGGTGGGAGCACAGGTGACTTCCATTTGAACAGACTTTCTCGAGGTCCCATTTCTGCTCCTAGGACTCAGCAGGGCTGGTTAAAACCTTGATACAGCTACCTGCTCTCGTGGGAGACAGACTATAGTTTTCACATCAACCCAAACTGATATCAGATTCCAGAGGCCATGTTAGAGTGCTCCCAGTGGATTCTCCCCAAGTTCAACTGGTCGTGCCCCAAGCGCAGGAGGCCCACTTGGAGGGACCCTCCCATCCTCCCCAGCCCATCAACCCGTACCTGCGGGAGGCCAGCCCCCACCACCGCTCCACTGTGGATCATGGGGCCTTCCTTCCCCACAAAGAGTCCTGGGAACAGGTGGAAAAGGGGGAGACCATCAGTCAGCACAGAACGGTCTCTGGGTCAGGAGACCTTTATTACACAGAACTTTCTCTTGACAACTATAAAACAGATAATCACATGGGTTTATAAGAGAAAGAGTAAGTCGAATGCCCATCAAATAGGAGAAAATAATCTTGCAACTCTAAGTCAGGGATCAGCAGACGGCAGCCTGTCGGCCAAGACAGGCTCGCTGCCTGCTTTTGTACAGCCCGAGAGTTCAGAATGGCTTTTACGTTCTCACGTGGCTGCCTTTTGGGCGGTTATGTAAGTGTAAGGACCTACGCAACAGCTCCTATTCCACCTCTCGACCCACAAAGCCTAAACTATTTACTTGCTGGCATTTTACACAAAAAGCTTGCTGACTTTGCTAAAAGCCAACTCCACGAGCCAACTAGACAGTTGTTCTGCTTCAAAAATGGTGTGCTTGTCAGGTACCTCTGAATGGTAACTTATTAACAGAGTCTGCATTTGAAAAATAACCCATCCACAGAAAGTGCAGAGCTCTGTTTGCGGGCAGGCCCTTCGAATCTGAATCTGCTTAATGTGTATACCTACCGCTTCTCCTCATCTTTGCCCCTTGAATGCTTGAAGGATAAAAGTCAGCAAGACCCTCCTTACCTCCAGCCACGCTGAACAGCACGCCAAAGACTTTGCAGAGCAGGGTCCGGAGACGGACAATTCCGGGGACCTTCACACCGTTCAGATAGCATTTGATCTCGGGTATCCCAGAACCCGCTGCCACTGGCTGATGGGAGAGCAGGCACCCCCATAAACTCAGGCTCCCCAGGGTCTGTGGCCTACCTCGGACGGCCTCGCCAAAGAGGGCGAACCTCCCTTCACTGGCAGCATCGGCATCTCTGGAGGGGCCGGTTAAACACGAGGCGGCCCCCTCCTCCCTCCCGCCGTGGGTTTCCAACTCAGTTGGTCCTGCGTACTTCTAACGGGTTCCTGGTGACTCAGCACCCCCTGGGGGCCCTTCCAACCATCAGTGCGGGCACTTCACCTCGGGAGGGTCCTGCCTCACTCCGGGCTGGGTATCGGTCATTTTTAAAGTTATTTTAGAGTCTTTTAAAGTTTAAAGTATTTAAATTTTCGGTAATTTAACATTATTTAAAGTCATCTTTACAGCTCCCCAGGTGATTCTAATGTGCTGCCAAGGTTGAGAACCACCCTCCTAATCTATTTTTCCTCTTTCATCTCACCAGAGGCAGAAACCTTTACTTTCAGAAACCTAAGTGAACAAGAGGCCACTCTTCCTCCAGGAATCTATATTCTAAGTCTAATTCAGTTTCCTGACCTTCCGGAAATGGAGGTGGAAAAAAATGAGCGCAGGAATCCAAAACCTTGTAAGCAAAAAGGCAACACCCACACCACCTCACCTCAATGAGGACAAGAAGGCTCGCAAAAAAGATGAAGGTCAAGTTGAAACCCAAGAGTTCAAGGAGGGACAGTGCGAGGCAGCCTTTCTGGCTGCATTCCTCCACCGCTACAGACACTGGGTTAAGGAACACGGGCTTGCCAATCAGGGGCGGTCCTGCCATTACCAAAAATGAGGCAGCTTCTCCTCTTCTAAAACCCACTGGTTGCTTACTTACTGCACATCTTCCTGTTCTCCGTATATAAACTTGAAAAAAAAAAAGCCTGTTGTCTCCTACATTAGGAACCATTTTTAAATTATGAAATGCTTCCCACATTACAAGCTGTACAAATACCTGTACTCCCACAGCCCGTGCAAATCTCAAATGTTACACTGTATTGGCTCCAGGTATTTTTAAAAAATGAAAACATTAGATACCACTTAAACAACAACAACAAAACCCCTTGCGTTTCCCTCCCTCTCCCCCTGGAAGAAACCACTAACTTGAAACTACTGTGCGACATTACCTGTGTTTCCAACATGCATCCACATCGTTCTCCGTGTTTCTAACACTAAAACAATGGCATCGCACTTGATGCACTGCAATGCACGTTCCACAATTTCCTTCCTTCTCTCCCTCAACATTTTTTTTGAGAATTAGCTCTGTTGATACAACAGCTCTGGTTCATTTACTTTAACTTCTGCATAAAATTATACTATATGAACATCAATTTTCCCATTCTCCCACTTGGTGCAATTCCAGCTTTTCGCAATCACAGAGCTGCAATGAACATCTCTGTACGTGTCTAAGGCACGTCTACAACAGAAATTCAGGGGTCAGGGGGGTGCACCTTCCTGTGTCCTTACCTTGCATTTCCCTGCGGGTGGTAAGGTGAGCACTATCCACAGGTTTATTTATTGGCTGGCTTTCCCCTTCTGAGAACTGCCTGTCTGCATCCTTTGCTCATTTTTCTTTTGGGCTGTTTGGGCTTTTTTCTTACTGAGCTGCAGTTACGCCTTTATTCTGAATACTAATTATTCATCTCTTAAATGCACAGGGGATAACCTCTCCTGGGCTGAGGACTTGTTTTTCAGCTTGTTTATGGCGTTTTATTGTTGTGGGTTGGGGTTTTTCGTCTGTAGAAATAGAACATTTACTTTGACGTGGTCAAGTTTATCGATCGTTTCGTTTTGTGCCTTCTGGAGCGCTAAGAAATTATTCCCTATTCTTGACATCATATAGCCTCTTCAAGTTTTGCCTCGTTACATCTTCAGCCCACCT